AATTTAAGGGGGCACCCAAAACCCCCTGGAAACAAGGCAGATAAAATTTTAATGCCATCTTTGTAAAAACTGGTGCAGAATGTCTGTGCTCAATCACCAAATGCTCTGTTTGTCTTTTATTTTAAGGTTTATTTATTTATTTGAAAGAGTTACAGAGAGGCAGAGAGAGAGGTCTTCCATCTGCTGGTTCACTCCCCAAATGGCCACAATGGAACTGGGCCAATCCAAAGCCAGGTGCTTCTCCCAGGTCTCCCATGTGGGTGCAGGGGTCCAAGCACCTTGGGCCATCTTCTGCTGCTTTCCCAGGCCACAGCAGAGAGCTGGATCAGAAGTGGAGCAGCAGGGACTCGAAACGGCGCACACATGGGATGCCGGCACTGCAGGCGGCTGCTTTACCCGCAGTGCCCCTAAATGCACCTGATTAGGGTGAGGCAAGTGAACTTCAGACCTGCAAACATGGGGTTGGATTTCATCTTTATTTAAAATTTTGCTATTTTGTTCATCATGGCTTGTTTTTTTAACATTAGTTTAAATTAAAAAAAAAAAAAACACGCTACATTAGAAGATGTATCTTGATTACTGAGTTTTCTGGCATCTCCTAGGTTTTGCCCGGAGGCGAGCCTTGTTGGTCTCACCCTGCTGGGGTCTGGCTTCGCCTTCCTGGGACCACATCAGTAGAACTTCTCACGCTCAGTCCTGCTCCCTTGGCTCCTTTGTGAGAATTATTCCCAAGCTGTGCTTGAAGAAGCCTCTCCCACCCAAATCTGACAAAGGTTGGAATCCATTGTGTGGGGATCCTGACCAACCACAGGGAGATCCTTCATAGTTTAGAAAGCTTCCGTGGTAGACAAACTAGAGTTCAAAGGTCAGCCCTGCAGTGCTAAGGGTCTTTCTAGTCAAGACAGCCAATTTCCAGGTCTCAGCTGGCCTCCTTGCATAATTAGAACAGCAATACCTGTTTCTCATTTAACCCAGGGTGTTCTTTATCCGAGCTAAAGACCTCAGCTTAGCAGCTGGCAAGTAGTAGGTACTAGGAAACATCATTATCCCCTCTGTTTCAGCTTCATCTTCCCTGAAACCCTTAAAAAGGTGGAAGTGAAAAGCACCAAGACCCATCGTAACAGGACTTGACGCCTCTAGCAAAGGCATGAGATTCTCTTTCATTGGTGTTGACCCATCAGCCATCCTCCCACGGCTAAGTCAACACTCCTTATCCTTTGGCTGCTGATAATCTGGCCAACTGCATCCCGGTCAGCTGTGTGTGTGTGTGTGTGAGGTCTTCCTCTGTGATTAGGGACAATTAGGCAACAGGGTGCCTGCCTGCCTTCTCTTTCCAGCCAGGAGGAAGTCCTGATGCACCATTATCAGGAGCGAGACGTCATCTGTCAGCCACATCGTCACAGGAATCCCTGGGCCCCGTTCAGACGCAACCCCAATCTCGCTCACTTTATCTGTACTCCCCAAAGGCCTCAGATTGTTTGCTTCCCACTGATAGCCGAATCTGGCATCTCGTCCTCTCAACATCCAGACCAAGATGCTTAAATAGCAAGGAAGCGAAGAGAGGCATTATGGAATGTGAGGACATCAAGGAAAACCAAACAGAAGATACAGGCCCCTCCTTCATGGGGCTTCCAAGATTCCAACAGGAAAGAAAGGATACACACACACACACACACACACATGCACGCCCACACACATGCACCAGACAAGCAAAGCCCACAGCCATGGGCTAAACATAGAGTGCACCCCTTGCTCCCTCTACTGCCTGTCAAAACCTGGGAGGGTTTAGATACCTCCACCATTAGTCGGCCTCTCTCCTGCACTAACACCAGTGCCTATTCCAGTCATGAATGACTTCTGCACTCTAATGTCCATAGCTTGAGGTGCTGTTCTTGTTCCTGGGAGCACTGCTTTAAATATGGGTGTCTGCCTCTATGCTTGCTTGCTGTACATATGCATTTTTTTTATTTCTGTCTCTTTCTGAATGTTCTGTGCAAAAGAAGTGGTTAACAATTACATGTACATGAATGGTCATGGCCGCAGAGGCCGGGTGTCATGAGCAAAGAAAGAACAGGTGTCCAGAGGAAGTATTTTTTTTCCCAGATAACTTTTGAAGGAAAAGAATAGAGCTACACAGTCCTCTGGAATAAGAGAAAGTCGAGCTCCAAGAACTACTATTTGGACTCCTCACGTATCCGTCGGACTGGCATGGTGTTTTGAAATTCTTTGATTGAAGGAGCTGTGGCTGCCAGGTGCATTGCACCCCAAGGTGCCCTGGCTACTAGCCACATGCTTGTCTGGTCTCAAAGGCCGTTTGAATTTGTGTGTCCTGCTCTGTGGCCTGCCGTCCTGGTTGTCCTCTCTGAATTAATTCTTTCTGACCACCATGCATTAATGTGCGTGTTTCCCTAATTTCTCTAAAAATCTCCTTAAACATAAATTCAGACCTCTTTCAAGATGAAAAGCAAATCTGGGAAGAGAAGAGACATAGCAGTTCTCTAGTACTCACCAGATAACCCAGCTTTGTTATATTTAATCCCCACAACGACCTTGACGTTAGGTGTTAACATCTCCTCATTTTGCATGTGAGCAAACTGAGGCTCAAAAGAAGTTACATAACCAACCCAAAGGTGCAAGAGCTGGCAAGGATCAGAACCAGAATTCAGACCTGCCTCTGGGTGTGTCCCACACCCTTAATCTTGTTCACAGACTGGAGTTGCCAGGGAAGAGTGGCTGCCTTGAGCCCGCACCTCCATAGGCAGCATTGAGCGGGGAGGCATAGCGCACGTTTTGAGCAGCACGGGGATTTGCATACACGCAAGTTTTTTGTTGTTTATCTGCAGGAAGGCAGGCTGGTCATGTGCAGATAATCCAAAAATAGTTTCTAATTTTTCTTGGGATAAATATAAAGTTTTTGGCAACAGGCACCTCTTTTAAAGTGTTTTGATGAGGGTTACACGAAAAGGCTTTCTTGTTCTCTGAGGATTTGCCAATTCATGGGCAAAGGGAACCAACAAGAGCACCACTGACTCCCTCCTCCCCCCCATCACGAGGACTGCGCACAATCCACAGGGCGGCCAAGGCTAACACGCGGGGCAAGAACAGGGCACCTGCGCTCTGCTGGGTCTCTTGGCACGCCTGCATCTGAAACCCCACTCCATCCTCATATGTCACAGGTGGGGAGACAGACGGAGAGCAGATGTACAGCATCTTGGCCAGGATTCTGCAGGCGAATCTGGCTTCTCATGAGTGAGTGAGTAAGTGTATTGATTTGGTGATTTACTAGGTAAAAAGTATCTTTGGTCAAAACACCTGCAATAGATGGTAGGGAAATTAATAAATTAGCACACAGAGAGACAAGCTCTGTCCTCCTTGGATGTTATACTCAAGACACCCTTGGGGTTGGTGCTGTGGCACAACAGGTTAAGCCACCACCTGGAGTGCTGGCTTCCCATATGGGCTTTGGTTTGAGGCCCAGCTACTCCACTTCCAATCCAGCTCCTTGCTAATGCGCCTGGGAAAGCAACAGAAGATAGTCCAAGTCCTTGGGCCCCTACACCCACATGGGAGACCTGGAAGAAGCTCCTGGCTTCTGGCTTCAGCCTGGCCAGCCCCTGCCATTGCAACCATTTGGAGAGTGAATCAGCAAATGAAAGATCTCTCCCTCTTTTCCTCTCTCCCTCCCTTCCTCCCTCCTTCCCTCCCTCTCTCCCTGTCTCTGTGATGATCTGCCTTTCAAACAAACAGCCATTAAAAAGGGGGGTGGTGGTGGTGGGCAGCATTTACTTGATCTTATTTGAGACTAAGGAATGGTCAGATAGGATTCAGTAATCCTGTTTTATAAAGCAGAAAATTGTGGCTCAATATGAGCTGCTGCCTGCAATGCCAGCATCCCCTACTGGAGCTCGAATTTGAGTGTTGGCTGCTCTTCTGATCCAGCTCCCTGCTAATGCAGCGGGGAAGGCAACAAAAGATGACAGAAGTCCTTGGACCCCTGCCACCCACGTGGGAGACTGGATGGAGTTCCTCGCTCCTGGCTTCAGCATGGCCCAGCCTGGAAAGTCATGGCTATTCAGGAGGAGAACCAGCAGATGGAAGATCTCTTTCATTCTGTCTGTCCCTCTCACTGTCATGCTACCTTTCAAATAAATACAATAAATCTTTAAAGAAAGAAAAGGGAGGCTCCCTGATGCCACATGCCTTTTCAAACTCACACAGCAAGTAATGCGAGAGCTGCCATTAGAACACACCATGTTCTAAGGCACAACATGTTTACCATGTTGTAAAGAACTGTTTGCATGCCTTAGAACCAACTGCCTGCATTTGGGCTGTATCTTGTTCATCTTTTTGTGTTCTCAGTGCCCAGCAGACAACAAGGCTTCAGTACACATTTCCTGAAGCAAGAAATCCCCAGGCACGAAACTCCCATGCATATGTTTGAACAGTCCAGTGGCAGGAGCCACTGTGTTGCCTCCCACAGCATGCGACCTCAGAAAGTCTCTGTGCTCACAAACTGGGCCAAGTATACGTTAGGGAGGCAAATATTTATTTAGCCACATTGGAGACAGTCTTTTAGCACAAATGTTCGTACAGAATCGTCATTCATCAATCATTGAAAAAAATCAATTGTTTGTCCAGTTTTAAACATAATCAAGAGGCCTGCCTGAATTATAATTCTTCACAAGCCACTGGAGTTGTGTCACCCAGTGGCCTTCCATGCTTAGCAAGATAAAGTTGACATAACTCGTGTGGATTAGGTGGAGAGGCTGAATCAACCGGGAACGTCTTTGGAATTGAAATTTTCAGAATTTTATCTGTGAACAGCCCTAACGTGCAATTTCATAATCCTTGAAAATAATCTCTTTGGGAGGAATACAGATCTTTGCAGCCAATAATAATAATAATAATAATGATAATCTTGTTTCTTATGTGAAGATGATTCTGTCCTTCACCACCTTTGAATCTTTCACCCTTGAAGTTGGCCTTGCATTCCTTTCTAGGTGTGATTCTTTACACTGTCTCACCCACTCTCTTGCACGACTTTCCACTAAGGACGAGTGTGGGAAGACAAGAAGTTTCATCTTCATCACAAATTCTCTCAAGAGAGATTGATCTATTGGACCCAGAAATATGGAAAGCTAAGTATGCTTTCTTTCTTAAGATTAATTGATTGATTGATTTTTTTTGAGAAGCAGAGAAACAGAGGAGGGAGGAGAAAGAGGGAGGGGTTGAGAGAGGGAGGGGTTCATTCTTCAGATGGTCACAATGCCAACAGTGATTGAGACCAAAGTCAAGAGACAGGAACTCCATCCCCATCTCCCACATGGGTGGCAGAGGCTCAGGTGATTGGGTCATCTTCTGCTGCCTTCTTAAATGCATTAGCAGGAACGTGGATGGAGTCCCAGCAGAGTAGCTGGGACTCGACCTGGTATTCCAATATGGGATGCTGGCAGCTCGACACACTGAGCCACAATGCCAGCCCCTAAGAACTGTTGTGTGCTAGTAAGTGTTTAACAACTACCAGTCAGTGGAGGTGAAGGCATTAGCTGTAGTGTTTGCCAATTTCTGTGGTGTAAACACTCTCACTGCCATTGATTTCAAGTTAGCAGTATGGTATTCCTGAACAGAATTGGGAATAGATTCATGAGCCAGTGGGAGCTGTCTCCAGCTCACCTACAAGAACTCTGTATGCCCAAGAGGGAGAAATTGTATGAATCGTGCTACTATTTTAACCTTCATTGCTCTTCCATCTTTAGAAATCCTACATATAATGGGATAATAACACCTAATCACGAGGTGTAGTGATGTGGTGTCCCAGCCAGCTGCCCCCTTCTCATAGTTGCCTTCAACTTGAAAGCCCTCCCTACTCCCTAGAAACTTCTGGGTCTCTGATCTGGCAAAGTGTCTATAAATCTGAACATTTCTCTTTTCACTTCATTAGAGCCTAAAGTATGTTAGTATCAACCATCAATATCCTTGATAGAACATGTCTCATCTGTTGGGACTTGATGAGTCACCTGTGATCATGACCACGGAGGGAAACAGCAGGAATATGCAAGTATTTATCAGTTCTCAAAAAGAGAACTGATGTGACAGATCAGTGGAACCCCCCATTTCAATAACAGATACCCAAACAGTCATGAGCAACCCAATCTCTAATAGACATTTTCAAAATTATTCAGGAAGATTTTATTACTTCTTATAGAGGTGAGACCAGAAAGGAAGCAATATAACATCAGAAAAGATTTGTTAGAACTGTTAAAACAGCAGAGGTCTTTGAAAATGTAATGGATGCAATATACAGCAAACAGACCCAATAAAATTGGAACAATGTAATTACAGTAAAAGTTCAAGAAGTCTCCCCATAACTTGGAGTATAAAAGATAAACATTATAAGGTATTAAACATGAGAAACACAAGAAAAATAATCCAGAGGCTCCAGTAGTTAGGGATAACAAGAATTCCTAAGAGACCAGAGTATTCAAAATATCAATAATCAAAGAACTAAAAGAAAAATAATTCTTGAGCTAAAAACTGATGTGAGTCTTTGGTTTGAAAGGATTTACCATGCATTACATATTGAATAAACTGAGATGCACCAAAACATATTTTGTTTACCCTATTTATTAATTTCATTTTGGGGAAGCAAAAATCCCATAAGCATCCAGGTATTTTAAAAACTTACCCACAAAAGAAAAACTTCTCTGCAGCACTAAAAGCCAGAAGTCAGGTCTTGGAATTTTAGATGAGAAAGTACTGTGACAAAGACAGATGTTCTTAGGTACGAAAAAGCTTTAAATCTATGCCAGACACCAGTGCCTGCAAAAATAGACAGAGGAAGAGCTTTCGTGTTTAGGCTTTTTTTGTTCATTAAAATAATTTTAAAGCTAAGTGCAAATTATTCTTGACAAACATTGTATGAGGGTGTTTTAGAAAGTTTATGGAAAATTGAGTTAAGTTTATTTGGATTCAAAGACGTTTTGAGATCTATGCCTAGGGGTTAGCATTGTGGAACAGTGGGTTAAACTGCCGCCTGCAATGCTGGCATCTCATGTAAGTGCCAGTTCGAGTCCCAGCTGCTCCAGTTCCCATGCAGTTCCCTGCTAATGTACCCAGGAAAGCACCAGAAGATGGCCCAAGTACTTGGGCCCCTGTCACCCATAAAAGAGACCTGGATGAAATTCCTGGCTCCTGGCTTTAGCTTGATCCAACTCGGGTCATTGTAGCCATTTGGGAGTGAACCAGAGGATGAAAGATCTCTCCCTCCCCCCTTCTCTTTCTCTGTAATTCTGTCTTTCAAATAAATAAGTAAATCTTTTATACAAAAAAAGGGGGGGAGAAATTCATGCATAGTTTTTCACAGCATTCATTTTCTATGAGCTTTTTGAGGACTCTTCATATGTGTGAATTTCAAAATAATTTTTCACCAAAATAAACCTGTCTTTTAATTCCATTTTCCACAAACTTTTTGAAACATCTTCATATAATACACAGATATAACTTTAAGCCTGATTATTTTCTTCTGGATTTAGTATTCTTGAGCATTTCAAAAACTGAAGGGGCTGAGGCCGGCTCTGTGGCACAGCAGGTTAAGCCATGGCCTGCAGCGCCAGCATCCCAAATGGATGCCAGTTTGAGTCCCAGCTGCTCCATCTCCAATCCAGTCCCCTGCTAATTCACCTTGGAAAACAGTGGAGGAGGGCCCACATCCCTGGGCCCCTGCACCCATGTAGGAGACCTGGATTAAGCTCCTGGCTCCTGGCTTCTGCCTGGCCCAGCCCTGGTCATTGCAGCCGTTTGAGGAGTGAACCAGCAGATGGAAGATCTGTCTCTGTCTCCCCTTCTCTCTTTGTAATTCTGCCTTTCAAATAAATAAATAAATATTTTTAAAGTACATTTTTTAAAAGATTTATTTATTTGTTTGAAAGGCAGAGTTACACAGAGAGAGGAGAGCCGGGGGAGGGGGGGTGTTCCATCCGATGGTTCAGTCCCCAATTGGCCGCAACAGCCGTAGCTGTGCCAGTTCGAAGCCAGGGGCCAGGAGCTTCTTCCGGGTCTCCCACGTAGGTACAGGGGCCCAAGGACTTGGGCCATCTTCTACTGCTTTCCCAGGCCATAGCAGAAAGCTGGATCAGAAGTAGAGCAGCCAGGACTTGAACCAGCGCCAATATGGAATGCCGGCGCTTCAGGCCAGGGCGTTAACCTACTGTGCCACAGCACCAGCCCCTAAAGTAAATTAAAAAAAAAGAAAGAAAGAAAAAGAAAAGAAAAAAACTTAAGAGGTTAGCTCATGGTAGCGCAGGTGAGACCCCTTGGGACACCCACATTCGCTATCAGAGTGCCTGGTTCTGGTCTTTTCTTCTGATCCAGGTTCCTGTTCTTGTGTACCCTAGGAAGTAGCAAATGCTTAGGCCCCTGCTACCCACATCAAAGACTGAGGTTGAGTTCCTGGCTCTGGGCGTTGCCTCCCATTTATGGACATTTGGGGAGTGAATCAGCTGATAGAAGATTTCTTGACCTTTCTGCTTTTCAAATAAAATGAAAATGGGGGCCAGCACTGTGACATAGTGGGTAAAGCTGCTGCCTATAGTGCCAGCATCCCAGCATCCATAGGGCACCGGTTCAAGTCCTGGCTACTCCTCTTCCTATTCAATTCCCTGCTAATGCTTCTGGGAAAGCAACAGAGGACTGCCCAAGTTCTTGGGCCCCTGCACCCATGTAGGAGACTAGGGAGAAGCTCCTGGATCCCGGCATCAGATCGGCCCAGCTCCAGCTGTTGGGGCCATTTGGGGAGTGAACCAGTGGATAGAAGACCTCTCTCTCTCTCTCTGCCTTTCTATCTCTCTCAACTCTGCCTTTAAAATAAATAAATCTTACAAAAATGAAAATAATGAAAAATAAATTTAAAAATAACACTAAAGACATCCTTGACCAATTCCTTCATTTTCTTCCATATATCACCTCTGTTCTCCACTCCATTTCTATGACCCTAGCATAATCCCTCATGACACTTCTGCTAGATTACCAAGACAATTTCCTGGCTAATCTTGCTGCCTCCAGTTTTACAACTTCCCTCCTTGCTGCACAGCTTAATCTTAGAATGTTGCTTTTAGCATGCCATTCAGGGGCTTAAAATGTGCATACAAGATGAAATCCAAACTTGTAGCTTGTTATTCAAAGTCCTCTCTACAGTCTGCCTCAACCTTGCCTTTATCTACAGAATTATGTCACATTGCTTCTATAAATGAACTCTCCATTCCAATAGTATCTATCTTCTCAAATGTCCAGAAACATAGTTTTATCATTTCCAGGTTTATTTGTTTGTTTTGTTTTTTGGTTCACGCTTGAAACGTCCTTCCATCTATATCCATTCCTACTTCCTGGTCCAACCCCTCGTTACAACTACCTGCTCCTTTCTGCAAATGTAGGCTAGCTCAGTCTACGAGAAACTTATAGAATGTCCAAGGATTAGATTCTAACACTTAATAATTAAATCTGGCTGGTGCCGCGGCTCACTAGGCTAATCCTCCGCCTTGCGGCGCCGGCACACCAGGTTCTAGTCCTGGTCGGGGCGCCGGATTCTGTCCCGGTTGCCCCTCTTCCAGGCCAGCTCTCTGCTGTGGCCAGGGAGTGCAGTGGAGGATGGCCCAAGTACTTGGGCCCTGCACCCCATGGGAGACCAGGAGAAGCACCTGGCTCCTGCCATCGGATCAGCGCGGTGCGCCAGCTGCAGTGCACCAGCCATGGCGGCCATTGGAGGGTGAACCAACGGCAAAGGAAGACCTTTCTCTGTCTCTCTCTCTCACTGTCCACTCTGCCTGTCAAAAAAAAATAATAATAATTAAATCTTATCTTGTATCATTATTTATCAAATGTAAGGCTATTGATTGTAAGATCACCATTATTTCATGTACTTTTAAGACAACTGACAATTGCAGTGTGACATTCCATTTATTTGAAGAGATCTTACTCTTTTCAGCAACAGCAAAAAATTGAAAAAATTGTGTCCTAGGTTCTATGGAACACATTGAGATGTTTTCATCCATGCTTCTGTTTAATAACTATTTCTTTATAGGCTGTGATAGTATGATCAGCCCCATATAGATTGCATCAACAAACAACATGGAAAAGGTCCCCCAAGCTCAAGTTCGGGCTGTACTGCACACATATCCTTTACCCTCAGCCCTCCGCCCCTGTGGGTTTCAAAGTCTTCAAAGGCAGAGGTTATGTCTAATGCTTTTGCTCCTGCTGTGGGTAGCATTTCTGTTTTGTACATACTAGGCACCTCAAATATTTACAGAGCAGAGCAATGAATGACCTCACATACTCAGTCCTAACCCCAGACACAGCAGACTACACAGTGTGTTAAAATTAGTTAGATGATAGCATCTCAAAGTTATCAATGCTTTGTATTACTTCATGAAACAGAAAAAAAGAAAAAAGGTTAGCAAAGTGTGGGACAGCAATCCCATTCTGCAGATATGACTCCGTTCCCTCTTTGGTCCTCTCAGAGAAGCAGCTTGGTGCAGAAGGTTGTAACTAATGCATTACTCACACAGATTTATGAAATCGCTTTTTGCTCAGCTAATTAAAATAACAAATCTACAGGTCCTTGTCACTGGCTGGTTGAACATTTCTGGTTCTCACTGTTTAATGAGGCCCAGAGTCCATGACATCCAGACAGTGGTTTCTTTGGCCCACTTTGGGAATTCGGTCACCTGGGAGGTGGATCTGCAGAAGTGAGCCACCAAGGGGGAGTGAGCGTCCAGCCTTCAGGACACTTCGGGATGCATCCATGCAAAGCACTGAAGGCCTATCATGAGTCTTTGACCAAGTGGCTGGCACTCTCCTTGGAGACCTGAGTGAGGGGAGAACCACTTAGGTTGCCACTGGTGCTCACGCATTCGATTGACAAGCTTCTGCAAAGGTTTACAGTGTAGACGGGCTCAGTGTGACGATCCTGCAAGCACATATGAAAGTCCTTCCAAAAGTTCATGGAAAATGGAGTTAAAGGATAAGTTTATTTTTGGTGTAAAAACTTTATGAAATCCATGCAAGTAAGGCAGCCTTTCAAAAGTTCGTGAAAAAACGCATGTTATGAGAAAACTATGCAAAGATTTCAAAGACTTTTTGCACCAAAATAAACTTATCTCTTAATTCCATTTTCCATGAATGTTTTGAAAAGCCCTCACACTAAGAGGATTAAACTCTTTGCAATGCTCCCTTAATTTAGGATTTTACACTTTTCATTGTTCTGTTTGGTTTTGGGGTTTTACCCCTACAACCACCTCGTGTAAAAGCTAGGATCTATTTGAGTGTGTGTGTGTGTGTGTGTGTATGAATACTTATATTTTGCCATTTTAAAAATTCACAAGAACAAACAGGTTATTTCTTTTCTTGATGGGGTTCTGTTCCATGCCATAGGGAAATAAATATTGCACTTGACTCCTTCCCTCTCTTATTTAAAAGGAGTCCTTTGAGGTGATGTTCTCGCCGAGCCTTCAGTTCCATGTGTCTTGCTGAGGAGGAGGCTTGCCTTCCATGTCCTTCTACGGAGGACTCATCAGAGGTTCCAGGGCATCCATCTGCACTTCTTCAGGCTTGCAGAACCACCTGCAGCATCGCGAGGTTTGAAAGCCACCGCCCTCACAGTGCCTTGCACGTTGGCATGCTGGTTACTGGATGCGGTTGCATTGAAACGTGCTGCAGCACTCAGGCATCCTGTTAAGTGTCTTTCTCGTGTCTTCAACATCAGTCCCCACCAGAATCCGTTATGGAAACCGAAGTCTGAGATGGAGGCGTCAGCAGGTTCCATCCCTGATACACAGCACAATGACAGAAGGGCCGGGCACATTTTACTAGTCCCATTTTACAAATATTAAAAATGAGGCCCAAAGAGATTAGAAGTGTGGTAAATTCAAACAGCTAAAAAGGTCACCCAACCTCAGATCTATCACCTTGTACGTGGACATTGGTTCGAAGGCTGGATGGAAGTTTAGAACAAACCTACATAGATCCTGCAAGATATTCCAAAAACGTCATCCATATCCTTTGTCTCCAGAATAAAAATCAAAGAATAGTAACCATATTAGCTAGGGGCAGTGACAGGGAAATGTCTGATGTCCCCAAGGGTTCCATCCAATCCCCTGCTCTCATCTGTGGCTTGGTCCTGACCAAAGAGTTACAGATGGCAAGGATAGAGCGTCTGGGGCCAGCCATGGGGCTGTGTTATGACGGGAAATTGGCATCTTGCCAAACTGGGCCCCACCTCTGTCCTTCTGCAAGATCCTAGCCCACTGGGGCTGACTGAATTATTTAAATGTTGTACATTACTACTTAATAGACACAACATATTGAAAGTTTTACAATCAAATATTTATGCTGCTGGAAAGCATTTTACATTATCTTTAAACAGCCATGTCATCTATTTATTTTCATTCTCTGATCTTTCTGTTTTGTATCAGAATTGGAGAATTTAGCCTATTTACCCAGAAGTAAATATTATGATGAAAACATTGGGTGGCTCAGAAGTAGACTTAGTCAAACGCAGAAGTATTTTTTGTTAGTGTCAATTGCACAACAGCATAAATGAAGACTGAGATCCTTGAAGAATGGAGGTTAAGTACTTTGTGGCTAGACACTGCCTCCACCTGCCTGACCCTGGGTGGAGCAGCAACTAAACCATTGCTTCTGACCGTGAACTTCCTTTCAGCCATGAGGCAAACTTCTCCTGGGCCAGAGGTGCCATTTGCAGGTGACTCTAGTTGAACCTTGGGCTGCAAGTTAAAGCTCCAGTCTGAAGTAGCCTGTTTGGTAGTTCATGGTCACCAAGACCTCAGCTTGACCTTGGCCTTTTATTCCAGATGCTTCTAACTTCTAAATGCTTCTCCCTAACTCTGTTCTGTGTGGCTGTGTAGGTAGCACTGAAGAGCTGGTAACTCTGCTTCGGAACTACCCTATCCTGCCCTTGAGAGAGCCCAGTCAATATCTCTCCTTACGGCCACCTAGGAGAGACAGGCCCCTCCCTTGCGTATCTGGTGTTTGATTCATTTCCGAAGAAGAGTCTGAAAGACACAGGGGAGCAGCCAGGATGATCCTCAAAGGACTACAAAAGCACCATCTCCCCAACTTCTGATTTTCATTGACCAGGACCTAATTTCTTCCTTTGAGGCTGCTCCCTTCCCCCACCGTTATCCAGTTTTCCAAGCCCCAGCTGGACTCCTAGCGGGGGTCTCACTTCTGTCTCACTCCAGACTTTGAAGGTTGGGTAATCTGCACTTCATGGCCTGTGTGGATCAGGAGCCTCATGAGTTTGGAGTGAGTAATGGCTCTGTTGGAATCCAGGCCACTTTCCCAGTGGCCTGAAGCAGTCCTCTAACCTCCTAGAACATCATTTCTTCCCCTTCGTTAGGAGGGTAGCGCATAGATCATAGGATCACTATGAGGAATTAATGAGGATTATCCAAAAAGTGTCTTGTGCTGTGTTTGGCCCAGAGTGAGCACTCATCAGTCCAGTAACGGTGACTATTATAGTTACTATTTGTGGTACAGATGGCCAGGCTTCCTGGAAGATCCTCCCAGTCTTGGTTTCCTCCACTTCTTTCTAATAATGAACATTAACTCCTCGGCAGTGGTTCCCAACTACTAGAAGACATGGGAGCTAGACGCATGAAAGAAAAAGGAGAGGAAAAGAAAAAATAGGAGGAAAACACAGATTAGAAAAATCTAAGCTTTAAAAGATTATTCATTAGGTTAAAAATACGTGTTCAATAAATAAAAAGTTAAAAAGAAGCCCCTTTCTTTAGAAAAGAGGAGACACAAATGAGATGGAAACTTGCAAACTGGCAAGTGCTCTATGGATGTCAAAAATCCTGGTGCAATGGTCCATGAGAAGGGCGGGCATGGGGCACAGCATCCTGTGTCAGTGGCTGGGGTTCAAGTCCCGGCTGGGCCTCTGAGTCCAACTTCTTGCCAGTGTTCACCCTTCAAGACAGTAGATGATGGCTTAAGTACTTGGGTCCCTGCCATCCACATGGAAGGCCTGGATTTTGTTCCCTTCTTCCCAGCTGAGTGTTTCAACCTCCCTCCCTCTCTCTTTCTCTCTCTCTCTCTCATAAACAAATTTTTAAGATTTCTTTTTAATGTTGGGGGGTGAGCATTTGGTGCGGCAGTAGGAATGTTGCCTGGGATACCAGCATCCCATATCAAAGCACCTGGATTCCATTCTCTGCTCTTCTCCCAATTCTAGCTTTCTGCTAATGTGCACCCTAGGAGGCAGCAGGCAATGGCTCAGGCATTTGGCTACCTTCCACCCATATGTGAGACCTGGATTGAGTTCCTAGCTCCTGGCTGTGGCCTGGCTGTGGCCCAGCTCCCAGGTGTGGCGGATATTTGCAGACTTAATTGGAGGATGGACAATCTCTGTCTCTTTCTCTGCTTCTCTTTCAAATACATAAAAATGACTAAATTCATTTTCTTTTAAAAACTAGCTGGAGCTGAGTAGCAAGTATCCTTTTGAAAGAACAAAAAAATTTAAAAAGAGTCCATGTGAACACTACAGGTCTCAGCTTCCTGATCTATAAAGGGAGATGGTCCAACCAGATTCATTCAACAAACACTTAGAAGCATGGCTAGAGTGCCTGCTCTGTACCAGTCACAATTCTAGACAGGGAGGTTCTAAAGGGGTGCAAGTGAGACACAGTTCCTGCTTGCATTCCAGTAGTGGAGACGGAAAAACCAAAGTGGATTGAAATAAGATCAACACAGTTCATGATAAGCAACTTGAAGAAAATGAAGTGGAAAGAGAGAGAGAAAGCAGTTGGGAGGAGCAGGCTACTGAAGAATGGAGGACCAGACAAGGCCTCTCTGCAAAGCTGGGACTTAGGGGAATGGAGTCCATGCTTGCAACCGTGTGCAAGGCTGTTCTAGGCAACAAGGACAGCAAATGGCCACAGGGAGTGTGCAGAAGGACGGAGGGCAATGTGGTTGGGAGACAGCATGACCAGCAGGTGCCAGACTGGAGAACAGCAAGGAGCAGAGGGGATTGAAAGCACTGGTCAAGGGAGATGATTTCAATAAAAGGATTATTTACGAGGACGTGAATGGGGTGGGGCAACCATAAAGCGAAGTAGAATGCCATGGTCACAGCAGGCAGCTGGGACAGCAGGAAACTCTGATGGCCCCTGGTGTGACAGGAAGAGAAGGGTGTGGTCACTGGGACTCCCAGAGAAGGAGCTGAGAGGGACACAGGCTGGGGTTCCTGGGATAGGATGCGATGGCTCCACCCTTCCCCCTTCTGATCCTTGCCAGAACTACCCAATAGCAGAACACACCAGAAGTCAAAGGGCCTGGTACTGTGGGCAACCCTCCCTCTCCTCCCACGGGATCCCCCACAGTCCAGAGTAGGACAGAGAAAGGAGGAAAATGTGGAGGCAGCCAGAGGAGCTGTCAGGGGCAGCCAGAACAGCCATGACGAGGAGTTGAGTTCCATTCTAAGGGCATCAGGAAGCCTTGGGAGTTGTGCTCGTGTAAGCAAAGGAGTTCAACTTGAAACTAATTTGTGCTAAGAAGCTCATTCTGGCTGCTGAGTGGCGAAAGGGCTTAGGAGGAGCAAGATCGGATGTTGGAGCTATCTAGCAGGTGATGGCGTCGTCCAAGTAAAAAATGCATGCTGATGTGATCTAGCACAGAGTTGGAAGACGAAGAGAAGTAAATGAACTTACAGTATAACGCTGGGAAAAATATAAAAATTATAAAACACAGCTTCTACCACTGCCATGAGCTAAAGGAGAGCCTTCCAACAACGCTAACGGAAAACAAGAACAAATGTACGCCATCCCTGTTCCTACAGAAAGCTCTGGAACCTCCGTGCCAGTGCCTGCTAGTGCTGCTTGTACAGTGCAAAGTGCATGGGGATAAATTTACCAGCTCTGTGATGTTTTTATTAATAAGAAGGAGACAGGAAATAAAAAGAGTTTCCCAAGCCCGGCACATAGAAAAATGATTTGTCCAGTCGACCTGATAAATAACAAATAGTAAAGTCTTCTAGTTTTATTGTTGGCATTATCATAAAGAACACGCCGTGCTTATTATCTGGTTAAAGGGGTTTCATTCTGTGTGATGTCGACGTGAGTTACAGTCTTTAATAAACAAATAACATCGGTATTATTCTAATTCCATAGCCATGAATGTTTGTCGAACTTGCTCCCTCCCTCACTGTGTGTTTCTCTCCCTCTCTCTTTCTCTAGTGATGTTTTGTCAAACATCAGAAATACTTTGGCTGTGTCCTCCAGTGTGGGCCATTTCCAACAAAATAGTTGTAGCGCTGTTTCCTAATTCCACCGATACCTCTTCTAGGATCAGCTACGCCAGTGATGAATAGCACCATACTAACGTCAAGTCATCAGTTCACTCCTGGGAAGTTCCAGTAGCCCATAAATCTCTTGTGGAGGTCATTAAATTCATATTCTTATGTAAGGTAAGCCTAGCACAGAACCTGGTCACAGGCCAGAAAAAAAAATGTGGAAGGATTGATCAGTCAGTATGCACTTAAAAGGTTTAATAAATACTGCCGAAGACTTGATGATGTTTGCATAATTTGCACAAAAGGGCCACAACACTTGGTACCTTTTAAAATGAAGAGCAAATGTGTGAGTTCTTCAGGGGCACCTGAGGACAAATGCCAGCCCTGCCACACATCACCTAGATGACCTTAGTCAAGTCACTGTATCTGTCTCTAAGCAGGTTTGCCCCTAAAAAAAAGGTTGGGGAGAAATCTGTTTTTAAAATGTATTTTTTTCTTTTCTTTGAAAGGTAGACATTGACACACAGAGAGAGATTTTTCCACCTGCCGGTTCATTTCCCAAATGCACACAACAGCCAGGATTGGGCCAGGCCAAAGCCAGGAGCCAGGAACTCCAGCCAGGTCTCCCACTTGAGTGGCAGGGACTCAAGTACTTGAGCCATCACCTGCTCTCAGGGTGCGCAATCAGCAGGAAGCTGGATCAAATGTAGAGAAGCTGGGACTCCCACCAGCCACTCTGGTATGGAATGCAGGCATCTAAAACAGTGACTTAACCACTGTGCTACATGCTTGGCCCAGGGCAAAAAATTTTGCAGGACTCCTGTCTATATAAACAATTGAAATCACTCAAAATCAGCATGACAGCTCCATCCCGGCAGCCCAATCTTGTGTGATCCTGCAAAAACATTAACACAGCAGCTAGGAGAAATGATCAGCTCACTAGGCTACCCTCTTGAAACCAAGTCTGGCCCTAGGGCCCAGTAGTCCCATTAGACTCAAGTCCTAGAGCTCATTCGGGCATCTGGTTGACCCTACACAGGGAAGAGGCTAAGGAGCAATCTAAAGGGGAGAAAAGGGAGCAGTGCCCACACCACTACTGACTTGGGCTTAGAGAGTTGAGCCAATACAATACCTCTGGCCTTCAGCGTTCCCAGGCACCACAAGAAAACGTAAAAAATTTCAAGGGAGGTACTTCATGGTACAGGCGGAGTGGTCCCTAAGATATTGTATCTTGGTGGGAGGTCCTGCTTGCTGTGGTTGCTGCAGTCTAAGGACAGTACTTTCTGTGAACCTCTGTTTTACCATCTATAAGATGGGAATTTAAAAAGGTCCTATTTTCTAAGGTTATTGTAAGTATTAGGTAATGTAAGCAGTCATAGTACGTACTATATTCACTTAGCATTTAACTGTCTGGATGTCCTTATACACGTGTATGTGCCTACAAGGGTACTTCAAAAAGTTCATGGGAAATCCAGATGAAAGATAGGTCTATTCTGGTGAAAAAAATTTGAAGGGCTGGCATTGTGGAGTAGCAGGTTAAACTGCCACCTGCAACTCCAGCACCCTATATGGATGCTGATCTGAGACCCAGCTGTTCCACTTCTGATCCACCTCCCTGCTAATGTGCCTAGGGAAGCAGCAGAAGATGGTCCAAGTGCTTGGGCCACTGCCACTCACATGAGAGACCTAGATGAAGCTCCAGTCTCCTGGCTTTCACCTGGTCCAGGCCTGATCATGGCCATTTGGGAACTGAACCAGCAAGTGGAAAATTCCCCCTCTCTCTCTCTCACTCTTTGTAAATTGCCTTTCAAATAAAATAAATACATCTTTTATTAAAAAAAATTTGTGAAATCCATGCATAGTGTTTTCATAATATGTTCTTTGTTTTCCATGGATTTTTGAAGACCCTCCATATAAATATGTAAACACAAAATTGTATATTGTGACACAATTCATAGAATTTTTTAATGACAGAGATTTCTGCCAGCATTTAGCACTGGCCCTGTCTAGCAGGTGCAGTGGTCTATGTATTCTCAAAATTGCAGATTAGCAAATGCAAATTCATCAAAAGAAAAAAAAAGAGGACTGAAAACCTTTAGAAATTATTACTTCTGCCTTTACAAAGTTCTATCCAAGCAGGTATTAGTATGTAGTTTTATTTTCTTTCAAATAGAGTAAAAACAAAACTTCAACTTCCAAAATCTAAATGCCTCAAACTGTGTATCATTGTTTCCATATTCCATTATTGTAATCAACTTGAGCATGGGTCACTTTGTATGTACAGTTTCAGTGGAGTTTTTTTTTTTTTTTTTTTTTGGCAGAGTTAGACAGTGAGAGAGAGAGACACAGAGAAAGGTCTTCCTTCCGTTGGTTCACCCCCCCAAATGGCTGCTATGGCCAGCGTTGCACAGATCCAAAGCCAGGAGCCAGGTGCTTCCTCCTGGTCTCCCATGGGGTGCAGGGCCCAAGCACTTGGGCCATCCTCCACTGCACTCCCAGGCCACAGCAGAGAGCCGGCCTGGAAGAGGGGCAACCAGGACAGAATCCTGCGCCCCAACCAGGACTAGAACCCGGTGTGCCGGCGCCGCAAGGCGGAGGATTAGCCTAGTGGCCGCAGCGCCAGCCCAGTGGAGTCTTCAGATAGGCTCAGATGCCAGCCCAGTGAAACCTGCTCTTCAGAGCCCCTGACTGCCGCAGCCCTGGCAACAGCCCCGCCCCCACAAAGTAGCACCACACAAGAACAGCCCTGTCAGCTGCAAATGAAAGCCCTTAAAGGACGTTGGATTTTCCACGAGTTTACACTGGCTCTGTTTTATCACAGTAAAAAAGCTACTTCCTAAAGGATCACCATTCACAGTCTCTGGATATATTTGCAGAGCGCTGGAAAATGTAAGAAGCGCTTATCTGCAGGCCAGTGTTGCCTTCAAAAGCCCTGATGAATGCATAGGCAGCCTAGCGCCATCATTGTCACAGCCGTCACCATCAGCACCAGCGCGGTCTTCTTTATGCCTCTCCTCTGTTGGGAGTTTACCCTGTGCCAGGCTCCCTCTGCAACTCATAGTGTACATATTTTTTCAGATACCGTCTCACAGCTGAAGAAGCCGAGACACAAAGAAAGCCCAGAGAGATTAAGTAACCCACCCAGGGTCACACAGGCAGGACAAGGTAGAGCTAAGGAATTGCACTCAGGTTTCCAGCTTTGGAACCCACATGCTTTTGACAGAAAATTCCTTGGTGCTAGTATCGGCCATGCACACAAGACGAGGAATGGCACCCCCAATGGCATGATGTTTCAACAGCCTTTCCCCCCAAACCCACCCATCTGCAGCCGTGTACATTTCATTGGCTCATCTGGGGTTCGCCTTTGGTCATTTTAAACAAATTTTCTGTCAAACACACTGGAAGACATCCTCGACGCGTGTCTTGAAAGCCTTACACCCATGGTGACCGTTCTTTAGTTTTAAATGATCGTGTAACAAAATCCCAGGTTTTTGTTTTTTTAATGGAATGGGTCAGTATCAAGGTCAGTTCATATTAAAGAATTTGGAGGAAAAGAAAGAAAAGGGGAATTGGCAACATACTCTAAGAAAAGACTGTGTGAGCCAGGAAGCAACTTAGAGATGTTTAAATTTTCCCTGACATGAATACTGACCACCCAGGGGAATTAAAATAAAAACACCTGTCCCAGGGAGGCAGGCAGCGATTCCCGTGGGCACCACACACCAGCAAGCTGGACGGTATCTCTGCTCTGTCTAGAGGGGACACTGGGATGAGTCAGCAGTCCTCTCTCCTCCATCAAGGTCTCACATCAGACAGAGCGCATCTTAAAGTCCTCCCTGGTACGCCAGGAGGATCCCAGAGGAAGCTATGCACAGAAGTGCTTTACGATGTAAACATGCACCTGACCTTGGGGAAAACAAGCCTGAGACGAGTGCGATTGTAGAACAGGAAGCTCCTGAGGGAGAGATGGGGACCACTGCCTGAGCACCGTGTGGGTTCAAGTCTGAAGGATGCCCGAGTCTGTTTCTGAACAGCCAGGCTGTAGGTTAAGTCACAACCATCAAAAGGAAGCTTGCTGCCGAAACACTCAGTGGCTGTTTTCCTGAACTAAATGATTTCTCTCTCTTTTTTTTTTTTTTATGCCTTCTTGCACAGGGTCCTCGAGACCAGTTCCTCAGGGTATAGATGGGGAACGAGCCTCCCACCACAAACTCTCCCCTCTATTATCATAGCTGGTTAATAGCACGTGGAACTTGTCCTTTTCAGACATTCTCACTTGGAATGCACTCACTTTCTTTAACAGTCAGATGTCGGTTTTTAGTACATCCAACTCCCCAAAGAAGTCATATTCTCAGAGAGAGAGAGAGAGAAAGAGACAGAGAGAAACGTCCTCCCCAGACAGGGTCTCCTGGAGCTGCATGCTTTGCTCCCCGACTGCCAGCCCTGGCCGCATGCAGGGCGAAGTGCGGGAGAGGCTGGGTACGCTGGTGAGGGATTGCTGTCCACTCACTTAGTCCTGCTTCCCAGCCCACACCCCTCCCCGCTCCCGCTACACACTGGGGCCGCGCCTCGTCATTCCTCAGCCATAATAGGCATCTGGGTTAATGAGCCGAGGCACGTATGATTTGTAAGGTCACCTGAAGCAGGTCAAGGATTTATGGGCCTCCATTCTGTTTTCTGGGGAGCGGGGGAGATGGCAGGGACGGGTTTGGAAACAGAATGTGACTAGTTGCAAAAAAAAAAAAAAGGGGGGGGGTGGTGTTCAGAAGGGAAACAAACTGCTAGCTCACACTTTATGAACCAGAAGTGGATTCGTCATCTCTGGGAAGTGGATAATGTTTTTATCAGGCCCTGAATGGAGTGATTCAGAACAAAACAGTCCCCCTAAACCCAGCATCACGCAACCCTGACTCCTGCAGGGAACAACTTCTGTTGTTTTTTATTTTTCACGTTAACCAATTAATCTTTATTTAAAAACTTAATTTCTTATGAAAATACACAGAAACAGACAGAGATTTCCCATCTGCTGGTTCACTCCCCCAAATGCCTGCAGTAGCCAGGGCTGGGCCAGTCACAACCAGGAGCTGACGGTTCCATGCAGGTCTCCCACGTGGATGGCAAGGACCCTATACTGGAGCCATCACCTGTTGCCTCTCAGGGTACACATTATTGGGAAGCTGCAATTGAAAGCAGAGCTGAGACTCAAACCCAGGCACTTCAGGGCAGGAAACAGGTGTCCCAAGCCACCTCTTAACCACTGTGCCAAATGCTTGCCCCAGTTTTTATTTTTAACTGACAGGTAAAAATTGTATATGTTCACGGAGTACCATGTGAAGATGGATTAGATCAGGGGAATACTTAAAGGAAGATTACCCTAAAGACACTTGAAATAAATGAAGAACAAGTCAACAAGGGCTGTGGGTAAGGAAGAAGCATGTGGTTGTGGGTCCTCTCACAAGCCAGGAATTGGGGACACTTTTCCTATTCTTTGGAACAAACAAGAAAGTGTTGGGAAAGAGGTGGGCTTGCAGGGAAACTTAATGAAAGGAAGTGGTAAGTTTGGCTTTGTACCTGTTTTGTTCTAAGAGCTCTTGGGAAAGTCAAGCGAAGTAGGTATTCGGATACATAAGTTTAGGGCACAAGAGAAAATTTCCAGCATACAAAAGATCATCAAACTGGAAATCTGTGTCACACAAAAAAACTTATGCGTAGATTTTTATTTTGGGTACCAAAATAAACTTTTCTTGTTAAAAACTTTTTTATTTACTTATTTACTTATTTATTTGAGAGATAGAAAGATAGACTGAGACAGAGCTCCATTTACTGGTTCGCTCCCCAAATACCTACAACAGTTAGGGTTGGGCCAAATCCAAAGCTGGCAGCCAGAAACTGAATCCAAATCTCCCACATGAGTGGCAGACACTCTATTCGGGTCTCCCCCATGGATGGCAGAACCACAGCCATTTAAGTAATCACCTGATATCTCCCAGCATTCACATTGGCCAACCCAGGTACTCCAGTGTAGGGTGGGGGCAACTCACTCAACAACTCAACCACTGGGCCACTCACCCCAACTTATCTTTTAATTTCATTTTCCATGAACCTCTTAAAGTACCCTCCGACAGCAATGGAAGGAGCTTTGAAAGGAAGAAAAAAGTCAACCATGTTCAATCCCCAAGAGATTCTAGAAGACAAAGAATGTTACGTGTCTGCTGGATACCTCGGTGATCTCTAGTCATCCTGGCACCTTCCAAGAACACGAAGAAGCAAACACAGTTGAAGAGTTTGCACCATGCACGTCGTCCCTTACCCAATACTGAGTGGCAAGTATGAGTCTCTGCAGCACACATCTCCGTCTTCCTTCCTCTCCACGGCCAGCAAGTCACAGCAGTGAGACCTGAATCCAGTGCAAGCTAACTTGAGCAGTGTCGTTATGTCGTATGGAGCTGGAACAGTGAGAATGGTTGGTTCACATGCTGATACAATGCTCCTTGTTGGTTTCTGGTCTATACTCCTCACCATCCCTCTCCAGTAACAGAAGCAAGGACACAGAAAAACAAAGAGGCCTGGCTTTTCCGCACAGTGGCCTGGCCCTCTAGTGTACACAGCCCGCCCCAATGGCTGTAAATCTGAGTTAGAAAATTGTGTTCCCTTTTCCTGGGCAGGAGCTAGGTGGGGAGAAGTGCCCAAAGAGAGAAAAAGGTGAAAAGCATTGCCAGAAGACAGGAAGAAGAGGCTACAACAGATATTTTCAACTGAAAACTACTTTCTTACATTTGTTTAAATTTAAGTCTTTGTTTAAATTAAGCAAAAGTGTTTTTATATTCACTTTCATGAAAGAAAGCAGGCTATATTAATAGCATGGTTGACATGAGTTCCAGCTGAGATTTCATGACATTAACTAGTACTGGACAATAAAGACTCTGGATTTCTGGTTTGCTGGGAGCTTGTGGGTGACCCACCATTAGATTCTTGACCCGTAGGGGTCTCAGACCTTATCTGTCTCATCTTTATATCCCTTACAATGCTAGAACACAGTCTGTGCTTAATAAATATTTCTGGAATTGAAATAAATTAATAGGCTGAAGCTGCATTCCTTAAATAGGTAATTCCTCAAATAGGTTACTTGGTGATATGTAGTTCATCTTCCCCACCAGATTCTTGATAGAACTTCTTGACAGATCAGAGGATAAATTTCATAGCAGAGGACACGATATTGGGCCAGTTGAGGTCTCACTCAGCTTGCAGACATGTACTGTTGGCCCCAGGGATGGATGGACCATTCAGTTAACCAAGCTTAATTTCCAGGCTCCTCTCCCATTCCAGCTTGCATAAGCTCTGTGCATGCAGGGAGAGGCTGGGGGTTTTTGAGAGTTCCCAGTGTTAAGCAGAAGCCAGGATGTAACCAGGAAGCATTTCTATGTTACTATTTCCAGTCAGTTGAAGACTGCATCTTGGGATAAAGGAACTGACTCCCTCATGCTCCTGCTGGTTGTGATTTCATTTCTCATTCTATGTCAATGTCACTCTTGCACTAGACATATTTATAATTTTGCATTATTTGTTAAAGGGCCTGGATAAGGCTCAGATCTTGCAACAGGGATATGCCCCCTGATTTGACTGTATTTTAAAGAATTTACTTTCTATTACTGACAGATGTTCAGAATTTTGAAAACCAGTATGTTTGGGGCTGTCATTGTGGTGCAGTGAGCTAAGCCGCTGCTTGCAATGACAGCACACCATATCAGATTGTTAATCCACTTCCTGATAATGCACCTGGGAAAGCAGCAGAAGATAACCAAAGTACTTGGGCCCCTGCCACCCATATGGAAGACCAGGATGGAGTTCCTGGCTCCTGACTTCAGCCTGGCCCAAACCTAGCCATTGTGGCCATTTGGGAGTGAGCCAACAAATAGAAGTTCCCCCCCCTTTCCCTCTGTGTGTGTGTGTGTGTGTGTGTATCTCCCTCTCTCTCTGTTGTTTTGCCTTTCAAATAAATGAATAAATGCATAAATCATAGAAAAACAGTATTTAACATTACAACCTGAATTTCCAATTTCTTTGAGCTACTGGAGGAAGATATGGCAGGAAGGATCTGTGTTCCCCCCCACATGGTTACCATGAACCATAGTCATGAATGGGTCATGGCTGCCCCACTTGGACAAGGCACCTGCTGTCCAGTTTGTTGCATGTAACCACCTCACTCCTCCATTTCCCTTATCAACTCATTTGAGTTTGCAAACTTGTCTGTGCACTGCATGAATACAGGGCACTTGTGAAAGTGACTTACATAGATTGCTAAAGGCTTTTTCAACAAACACGTGAAAGAGGAACAAATACCGCCTGAACTGCTTATGCATCAGAGGTACAAAAGCCAAAAGAGAAAGTAGATGTAAAGGATTGCAGTCTCTCTCACTCTCTCTCTCTCTCACATACACACACACACACATAAACGCACACACACACACAGGCTCTCCCAACCTGCAGAGGAAAACACCTGACTTGTCCATAGTTGACCAGACATGACCAAACTGCCTGTGGTTGTAATTTGTGACACAAGATAGATAACTAAAGGTGGTAAAGCCAAGAAAGTCCTGACACAGTGAAGATACAGGATTGCTTTCCATGATCGTGACTGCCTGCAGGTGTCTGAGGAAGGGGAATTAAAGAAGCAACAGCTGAAGAGCACGCCAGGACCAGTTGTTTTGGACAGTCCACATGCATCATCTCATTTAAATATCACAGCTCTTGGGAGAGCAAGTATTTCTAGCTCCATATTACAGGTAAGTTATTGCATATCTCAGAGGACTTCAGTAACTCACCCCAGGTCTCTCCTGCCCATAACATCGAAGGCTCATTCTAGAACCCGGGAGGGAAAGTCATGGAGTAGCAAGGCTAGGGGGAAGTGTTGCCAAGAGATCATCAATATTTAGGACACAAGGCAGTGGCGTCTTGAATGCATTAGCCTACTTCTCCCCAATTGTAGCAGCTTGGAACATCCTCTCGAAATTCTACCAGAAAGGAAAAACAAAAAACACAACTCACAGAGGATGTCTTGAACAGAGAGGGCAGAGGATGGTCTTCTATATGAGCATAGTGCAGCCATAGATAGTCCAAGCCATCAGGGGTATAAATCCCAGGGCAGATGCCAACAGCTCCACACTGGGATGGGAAACTTGAGGAGAGATATAATTACCAGCATTTCCTGAACTCAAAAAAAGGAACTACGCTCCCCCTCTAAACACACACACGAGCTCTCCCAGCCTGCAGAAAGCAAACAACTTATTCCTGTCCAATTCAGCCAGGTCATGCAAACCCTTCCATTTGGCTTCAGCTGATTTCATCACTGCATTCAGTGAACAAGTTCACCCTCCGCCAAGTTACTGTGGCTCTCTTCTCAGCCCCAAAGCCCTCTGGAGAAAAATCTGTGTAGCTCTTTCTTCTCTCTTCGAAATGTCACTCAAAGATTTTGTGCCATACTCCTTATCCCACCCATGTCTTTCCGGCAGAGTCCTGGGGGTACTCCCATTCTCACGTGCCCCTCCGTTCTGCCAGGAGGCTGGGGCTGGACTGAGGACAAGCATGATAGATGGGTATCTCTGTGTGGGAGGTACCTCTCACCTCCACCACATTCATGTCCCAGTGCCAGCCCTCTGAGTATGTGACATCACATGACAAAGGGGAAGGAAGGTAGCAGATGAAATTAAGGTCAGTCACCTACGGATCTAACAATAGAATCTGTCCTTGCCGCAAGGCTAATGTGAACGATGAATGTGGAAGGTGAGACAGGATAAGAACGTAAGGGTCCACTTCTGCCTTGGAAGCTGGAGGAAGAAGCCCCCAGGCAAAGAACAGGGCTGCCTCTAGAAGCTGGAAAAACAGCTCATCTCCTGGAGCCTCCAGAATGGAGCACAGCCCTGCACAGAGCTTGATTCTATCCCAAGAAGACCCATTCTGGACTTCTGCCTTCCAGAACCATGAGATAATAAATGTGTGTTGTGTTGTTGTTCTTAAGCCACTCCCTGTGTGGTAACCATGTGAAACAGGCAAGGTACACACGGGGAATGGGAGTGTGACAGAATCACTGAGTTGCTTGTCCGTACCTGCAAGCAGGTCCCCACTGCCAGGACATCATCCCCAAGACGAACAGGAATAGGATCTCTGCATCTTTTCTTTGACACATCAGCTACTATATCGTCTGCCCCTGAAGACCTTATTTACACAAACAGCCTGGTGAGATGCAGAGACAGAACTCTGTGTCTTAGAATACACACTGGGACTTGGGTGTTAGTGCTTGTCCTAAGGGGCTGTTGCTCAGGTCCACCTGTCACTGACTGATACTTCAAGAGTTCAGAGCTCTAGATCATAGGCATGGTTATAGGAGAATTGAATAGATGGCATCTGGGACCCACATTCATAGAAAGTGACAAATAACAGGGTCAGCACTGTGGCGTAGTGGACTAAGCCTCTGCCTGCAGCGCCGGCATCCCATCTAAGCACTGGTTCTAGCTCCTCTTCCCATCCAGCTCTCTGCTTAAGGCCTGGGAAAGCAGTCCTTGGACCCCTGCACCCACGCGGGAGACCTAGAAGAACTCCCTGGCTCCTGGCTTCGATCAGCTCAGCTCTGGCTGTTGCAGCCATTTGGGGAGTGAACCAGCGGATTGGGAGACATCTGTCTCTCCTTCTGTCTGTAACTCTACTTCTTAAATAAATATCTTCAAAAAAATGAAAGTGGCAAATAAATCCAAATTATGTCTGTAGATAGTTTAATGCTTATTTCCTGTGCCACCAGCTATTAAGCTAGCTTCTTGGGGCTTGCATTATGGTGCAAGGGGCTAATCCACCACCTGTGACACTGACATCCCATATTGGAGCCTGGGATTCAGTCCCAGCTGCTCTGCTTCTGATCCAGCTCCCTACTAATGCTCCTGGGAAAGCAGCAGAAGATGACCCAAGTCCTTGGGCCCCTGCCAACCATGTGGCAGACCAAGATGGAGTTCCAGCCTCTGTCTTCCAGCCATTGGGGCCATTTGGGGAATGCAATTGTGGATGGAAGATCTCTTTGTGTGTGTCTCTCCCTCGCTCTCTGCACTCTGCCTTTCAAATAAATACTATATATATATATATATATATATATAGTGCATTAGCTGTGCACTGACTTCAAGTGCACAGAATGGATTTTCCCCTAAGGAGGGATTCGTGTGCAGGAAAAGATTTTCCAAGCTAAGCTCTGCACAGGACCCCCATCTGGATCCCCCTTATCCTGTAGCCACCATTTACAGGCCAGTAGAGCATCCAGCTCCTGTGCCTTCCTGGCCCCTTTCCCCAGGGAACGGCGGGAGTGCCTTGTCCCGGCTGGTTTTCTAGACGCAGTCACAGATTTGTAAAAAACAAAAACAAAAACAAAACAAAACAAAAACAAAAACCACACACACACACACACACACATACAAAACTTCATCTTTTCATTTTCTCCATGGAAATATATCCACGTCTGTTAACGAAACTACTAACCAGGCATCTTCAAAATGTTTGTGGAACGTGCGAATTATGTAAAACTGTGCCTGGAGTTGAAAACTTTCGGGCACCAGAATCAGTTGAACTTTTCGAACGCCTCTTCCACGAACTTGACAAAGCGCCCTCGGATAACCCGGTCTGTCTGCGCGCCGGGCCCGGCTACGCTCCGAGGAGAGCGAACGCGCGGGGATTCTGCTCCGCCGGGGCGCAGCTGGGATGGGAAATGCCTCTCACCCAGCGTGCGCATCCGTCGCCAGCCTCTGCAGCCGGCGCCCGCGTCCCTGCTCTCGGGCTGCAGAAACTTTGGCGGGGAAGCCCCGGCTGGAGCTCCCCGCGCCGCTGCAGCGCCGCGCAGCGCCCAAGAGCCCCACCGCGTCGCCGCCGGGCTCTCCTTCTTCCTGCGTCTGCTCCCGCCCGGCCGCCCCGTCCCCTGGGCCGTGCCGGCGCCCTGCGCGCCCCAGCCCGCTGCAAAGAGTTAAAAGAGCCCCGGCGCGGCCCCGACTCTCCCGGCGGCCGTGGGTCCCGGGCCCCCAGCTCGCCGCTCCTGATTGGCCGAACGCCTGTCAGTAGTAAAGAGTATCAGATAGCAAACTTGGGACCTTCTTAAAGGCGTGGCGGCGATCTTCGGCGGTCGCGGGCAGCCTATGACATCAGCCAGGAACGCCTGCGATGCCGCCGCTCCTGGCCAACCTCCGAGGAGGAGGAGGAGGAGGAGGAGGGTCCTGCCGGCTAAGAGATAATTAGCCCCGCTCAGCGAGTGGGGGGAGGCGCCAGTTTTCTGGGGGACACTGGCTGCCACTGTGCGCGCTGCTGCCCAGGGGAGCGCACGGACGCTTGCATGAGTGCTGGCGGGTTCGCAGCGGTCAGCTGGGCTCCCGGGAGCCTGTTCCAGGTGGAAAGGAGGGGACGTCGGGCGCAGGGACCAGCGGCTCGCTGCGGCTCAACATGACACTCCTGGGCTCCGAGCATTCCTTGCTGATCAGAAGCAAGTTCCGATCAGGTAGGGCGAAGGTATTGGCGCTCCTAGTTCAGCTCCCTCCTCTGCGAGTCTCTCTCGGCATCCTCTTTCCAGCAAGCCCTGCCCGCGGCTACTTCCACTTTGTTCCCCAAAAGCACGTTTTTTTGAAAAGTGAAGAACTTAGCTTGGGGGTGGTGGTGTCTCTGATGCCTTCTGTTTTAAATGCTTTGAGTTGTTGGTGACTCGGCCAATCCCGATTTGGTTTATTTTATATTTTCTCTCTATCTGTGAATAGATTCTGGAGGGGGTACCCTCTAAGAGAAGCATCTTTGGGTATGGAACAAATAAGGGGTTACCAGCTTGGGAGGCGTACGGTATCAGTGGTTGTGGCTGAGAAGATGAACCTCATGTTGCGTATTAGGTACAAGGGTCGCTGAAAATGTAGCTAATCCAAACAAATCTATTTCCCAAAAAGAGTCACTTGGGGGAAGTAAAAATAGCAAATTTGGAGCACACCAAGTATTCAAAATGACATCACTTGTAGGAAAGAAGAAAAAAAAAAAGCCCAGTGCCACAAATATTTTTTCCCAAACCATCTGATATTTATAAATGGAGAAATTTTCCCCCAAAGTTCTGTGTTAGTGGCACACAGAGAGACGTCTCAGAGGACACCGAGTGGAGGTGAGTGGGATGGACGCACGGGAGCCGGGATGGATTTTGTGCAGGTGCCCGTGGCAGGGGGCTGGAGACACCTGACTTCTGACATTGCTTTTCAGTGGCTGTGGGTGTCACTTCTGTTTTACAACACAGGGGTATCAATCCGCTCTGTCATGGCCGAACTTGGACGGCCAATCAAGGGCTGTTAGGCCAGGATGTGCATGTTCAACACAGCAGGTGTTTGAGGCCCCCATCTTCTGCCGGGCCGAGCTTCTTTCTTTCGTGCTTCTACCTGGGGCCACTGGACTGTGGCTGGGGGACGAGTTGGTTCAAAAAGCGTCTTTGGGGAGGCAAAAGTTTATCCTTCGCTGCTCCTGGGTTTCGATGTCTCAGGGATTGACGGGAGATTTCTTAGGCTCTACACTATTGAAGCAAGTTGAAAACGTTTAGAGTGTAGGGAGCCACGAGCTCTCTCGTGTCCTCGAAGCCCCCCAGGGGGTGAGCCTTGCAGCAAGTGGACACTGACCATGGATGAAGTCCTTTTCCACAACGAGGAGAGGCAGTTGGTCTGTGATTCAGCCGGAGACCTCGCCACTGCTTGGGAACTCGGTCAAAACCGCAAGGCAATGCTGCCACCTTTCTGAAGGAGAGAGGATGTAGCATTGTTTTGCGTGAAAGCTGCATTCATTTCAAATGCTCCCTTGCCAGGTTCATATAGGGGGGTGGGGAGGGGCTGGCTTGGCTCTAAAAGGATTTGGTGATGCACTTGTTTCGAGGCCTGCAAAACAAGACTTATCAAAGGAACCCTTCCTTCAGCTGAAGGGCAATGGAGGAGGAGCAGGCAGAGCATTTTTTCAAAGCCTCCCATTCCCATCTTAGCCGTTTTGTGGAGTCCCAGGGTCTCCCAAGAAGACCCCACAGGCCCAGATCCTGGTGCTTTTGGAGAATCTCAGTCTCCATTTTTATTTTCTTCTTAAGCTGGTCCAGGTGTTGGTTGTCGTAAGGAAGAGTAATTTTGGGCAAACCTGCTGTCAATGCAGAAGCAGGTGTGCTTAATCTTCAGGGTTTGATAAGCAAGGGAGCTGGAGCCTGTTACTGGGCCAACTGGTTTGGGCTTCTCAGCTCTAGGGTTGGTAGCCTCCTGAAGACAGAGGAGGAAAAACAAGTCGCGTGTGGAACTTAGAAAGTTCATGATGTTGAGGATGGCGACTGTGCTGTCTGTGGATAGAGCCCACGAGAGCTGCAGGGGCACTGAAGTCTGGCTGACAGTAAGTGAAGCTCCCTCTAAGAGAACTCCGTGCATTTTTATGTGCCTAGCCATGGGTTTGGAGCGCCTCTTCTTCATTTTGATTTCTCTAACTCCCTCTTGCCTCTCTCCTGTTTTCTTCCTCTCCCGTGAGCCACTCAAACTGTAAAGTAAGCTCCTATAACAGTTTCTAGCTCGTCGTATTTGCTTCCATCGTAGATCCCAGAATTACGTAGTTATAAAAAAAACTATTTCCAAAAATAAATGTAACTCAAGTCTTCTGATTCCAGCCCCGGGCGTTTGTGATAGTGCTTGTTTATAAGCAAGCAGATAACTGCTTTAACTCTGGAATTGACATGGGTTTCTGTAAGCTGTCGTGAGCTTGTGATTAGGGGCAGAATCACGCTTACGGGGCAGTGAACTCTGAAAGCTTACACGTATGAACGTGTTTAGTGATGTGTTTGAGAATCAGAGCGTCACGGTTGAGCAAGTGGCAATGTATGTGTTGCAGGGAGGGGTTGGTCTCAGGCCGGACCAGTTGGGATGTTAGCAGTCACCTGTCAGCTGGCTGACCTTGACTCTTAGGTAAATTACGTGATTCTCCGCTTCGGCTCACCTTCTCTGATTCATGAGGATGATTATGGGGTTTCTGGGGGAATTAAATGCGATAATGCAAGGAGATCCCACCTGGAACAATGCCTGGCCTTAGTAAGCCCTCATAACATAGTGTTGTGTTATTAATTTTCATGGCAGTGGGGTCCTGGATTGGTTAGTTTCTCTCTTTGTGTCTTGGTTTCTTGATCTGTAAATGTCACAATTGGGCTAAGTGATTTCTCACACCTCGTTGGTAATATTTTACGGTTCTCAGAGATCGGGAACAAGCAAAATTGTGATTGTGCTGCATCGTGGTTGGGCATAAGTAGTAGACAATTTACATAAATGCAACAATTATGCTATTTTTCTGCTGGCCACAGTTTGACAGCTTTTAGCCGTCTGGTATTTAGTCAATATCTGTCAACAATTTTTCTCAAGTAATCCTTACATGCTATAGCATAAGGGCATAGATGTATGTATACACACACACACACACACACACACACAGGAGCAAAAGGAGAGAGCACTTCATTAATGGATTTTGCTTCTAATGTTGTGTTTCCTTTCATTCTTTCTCTCTGACCCTCCCTTTCAACTCAAACAATCCTAACAAAGACAAATGCTAGTAATTGCCAGGACCCCACCCAGGAGTAGGATTGTGAATTTTAACAAATAAAACCATAGGATCCCCAGTTCAATTTAAATGTGATGTATAACAATTCAGTCGGGGGTCGGGGAGGGAGGTTGTTATATAGCTGTATTTGGGACACGCTTTTATCGGCAACCCAGATTTCATTGGGCACTCTCTATTTTACTTGGCAACAATCTGAGCAGTCTCTGCTCAACATTTGCTGCCCTGTCCAAAAAACCCAACAAGCTTTTTAGATTCTGGATTCCCAAAGACTCCTTAAAATGCAAAACTCTGGGGCCAGCATTGTGGCACAGAGGGTTAAGCCAATGCCTGCGTCCCATATGAGCACCAGTTAGAGTCCCTGCTGCTCCACTTCCACTCCAGCTTTCTGCTAATGTACCTGGGAAAGTAGCCAATGATGCCCAAGAGCTTTGGCCCTTGCCACCCATGTGGGAGACCCAGATGGAGTTCCTGCTCCTGGCTTTAGCCTGGTCCAGCCCCAGCTATTGCAGACATTTGGGCAGTGAACCGTGAACCAGTAGACATAAGATCTCTCTCTGTCTCTCTGTCTCTCTGTCTCTCTCTCTTTTCTCTCTGATTCCCTCCCTCCTCTCTCTAATCTCTTTTCAAATAAATAAATACATGTTTTCTTTAAAATTTTTTTACATTTTTTTTTTTGACAGGCAGAGTGGATAGTGAGAGAGACAGAGAGAAAGGTCTTCCTTTTGCCGTTAGTTCACCCTCCAATGGCCGCCGCGGCCGGCGCACCGCGCTGATCCGAAGCCAGGAGCCAGGTGCTTCTCCTGGTCTCCCATGGGGTGCAGGGCCCAAGTACTTGGGCCATCCTCCACTGCACTCCCGGGCAACAGCAGAGAGCTGGCCTGGAAGAGGAGCAACCTGGACAGAATCCGGCGCCCTGACCGGGACTAGAACCGGGTGTGCCTGCGCCACTAGGTGAAGGATTAGCCTAGTGAGCCGCAGCGCCGGCTCTTTTTCTTTAAAATTCAAACCCCAGCCAGCGCCGCGGCTCACTAGGCTAATCCTCCTCCAGCGGCACTGGCACCCTGGGTTCTAGTCCCGGTCGAGGCGCCAGATTCTGTCCCGGTTCCAGCTCTCTGCTGTGGCCTGGGAGTGCAGTGGAGGATGGCCCAAGTCCCTGGGCCCTGCACCCACATGGGAGACCAGGAAAAAAAGTGCCTGGCTCCTGGCTTCGGATCAGCGCGGTGCGCCGGCCATGGCGGCCATTGGGGGGTGAACCAACAGAAGGAAGACTTTTCTCTCTCTCACTGTCCACTCTGCCACTCTGCCTGTCAAAAAAAAAATTTTTTTCAAGCCTCATTGAGCATGAAAGCAGAAGACTCAGAATGAGGAGGAGCTACCTTGAGAATGAACCCTGGATCTCCTGGCGTAGAGCCAGCATGTAGGTTGAGCAAGAACATGGGCCTTTGTGTCTGGCTTTCTGGCGAGGAGGAAGACAAGCCCACCAGGTGGGCCGGCCTGAGACAGCAGGAGCTCCTTAAGCAGGTGCTGCAGCTACAACAAGCCCAGGCTCATGTCCAGCAGGTGCTGAGGACGCAGAGGCAGAACTCAGTCGAGTGTCGGGTAGAACACGCCAACACTGCAAGCTTCCATCCCTGGCAGCACCCGGCCAGGATCAGGCCTCCAGAGTCTGCAATCGATTGCTTGTCCTTCCACGGAGAACAGGGCTCATCCCTTTAGGGCCCTGAGGTCACCCTCACCTGCCCTGACTCTATTTTTCCATCCACCTGCTCACCTAATAGGACGACTGGTTCCTACTTTAAGCTAGATTTTTCATCTCAGGGCCAAAATTTTGTCTCTGAGGTTGGATGAAGAGGCTGATACCCAAGATTTTTATCATGATCGGCTCTGTTGAAGAATTTCCACCATGAGCTC